ACGTGGATTTACCGAAGCCACGGAGCCCCTTTTTTAGGCTCTATCTCCTCGGCCCCGGCTCCAAGTTTGTTGTAATCCTACTGGACACAGCTTTCACGGAATTCATTTTGAGCCCACAACAGAGCCGGGGCCGAGGAGATAGAGCCTAAAAAAGGGGCTCCGTGGCTTCGGTAAATCCACGTTTTCCTCCATAACAAGGAGCCCCTTTTTTAGGCTCCATCTCCTCGGCCCCGGCTCCGTTGTGGACTCAAAATACATTCCGTGAAAGCTGTGTCCAGTAGGATTACAACAAACTTGGTTTGAGGTCGATCCGAGCTTTCTACGCCGAGTTAGACGTGTTTTCCCAAATTTTTATTTGGGACAACGTTGTCCCAAATAGCCGTGCTGAACAATTTTTCAGAACAGGAACGTCAGGTTTTAGTACACTTTTGTGCCGATATATATACATCTGACCGGCCCTAGGCCGGAACATCCATTGTATGTAGTTTTAAAAAAGTAACGTGGCTATTTTTGTTTCTCCCAAAGCTATTTTTCCCGTCGTTATTTGCAATATGTAGAAACACACATACAGCAGTGTGTGTGTCCGCTAATACCACGAGGCACACCACCAATCAATTTGTCGCGAAAGTTATCCCGGAGTCGTATCGATGGGCTAGGGATACATCATGTTGGAAACAAAGCTGATTAGCTTCGTCAACAGAAAACGAAGCTCCCCTACCTACCATCCCCACAACAATTTGGTGATGTACTTGTATTTTGCCGGTACAGCAGTACGATGACCAATCGTAGTTGAATCATGCACCTGCATACTACGGAGTTTTTAGCGCCCTCAAATGGGCTTCCGGCAAACATGTTCGAAGTCCTGTCGAAATTAAGCCCTCTGATTCGGAGGCTAACACAAGCTTTTTCTCCCCCCAAGAGCAGTGCTAGATGCGCTATGCTATTGTACTTTTGAATGTGTCCACATGGAGTATCGTGTTACGCCATGGCGGCAGTCCATGCGTTGAGGTATGGTTGCTACAAACAGGGTTTTCGCCTGATTGAGAGCGGAGTATACGATTGAGAGCGGGAGCCAAAAATATTGAAATTTCGGGTCCAGACGCCTCTTGCCATTTCTTGGGAAGTAGGGGGCGAGCTCTTCCAAGAAGCGGCGCAAATTGAAGGTCTCATCAGCAGCGTCACGAGCATATGCGTGTCATCGCGATCGGATGCTGCAGCTAGGAGCTAGACAAGTTGCTAGATTTCCCCAGATTGGCTATTCCTGCCTCAAACTGTTTCAGGGCGATTTGATCGCGGGCGGTGAGCTCTGCTGTAGATTCTGCTCCCCGCTGTAGCTCCACAACGAGAGACGCCCACAGGATGACCAGGGTATCGGCTTGTAGCTACGGGTTAGGCCTTCAATTCAAGTCACGCAGCAAGCTCCACCTCTCAGCGGTAGTCCAGCTACAGCGCATCGCGCAATCTCGCTCTCAATCAGAAACTTCGCTCTCAATCACACGAAAACCTTGTTTACAACAAGAACGCTTAGTTGTATCTTCCGGCTGCCGCACACCAGCCGGAACAAGAATCGCACCTTACAGTAGGGGACAAATCTATAAAAAGCCGTGGTTTGCACCTTCACGCTTATACGAGACCCTCAACACAGTTGGCATCGACGCGTGAGTGTTTCGCCCTGCCTCCCCACCCCATTATCTCCGGCATTGCAGCATTTTGTGAACACCACATCCAGACGCACACCTATACACCTATCATCCGAAGGCCGGCCATCGTTAGGCCTCCACACCAGCATTTGTTGTTGACCGTGCCGAATTGCTTGCCCTCGAAAAGCTTCGCTGGTCTGTGGGGCGCCAAGAGACATGTGGGCGTTGGGGAATCATTGTCATTGATACTGCGAATCTGACTGCGGTGCCGTTGTTCGCAATGCGCAAGCACCTCATTTTACGGTTCATACTCCCAAAATTCATACAGGAATGTATAAGATCGCTTCGCTAAAGTTTTTCGCGCACCACCTACCCCAGTGCAACCAACAAGCATCCAAGAGAACAACAACAACGACATCAGCAACAACAACAACTGCTGTTCAGAGGGGGGTACTGTCATATTCTTCTGAGTCTCACATTCCTCGAAGAACTCCACGATCGTTCAGACAAATGTGTCTTGGTTGATGCTGTGGTGTGCCTCGTTCAAGAGGTACTTGTCGTAGCCGTTGCTGGACCCCGGTAATGCGAGCCGGAACTTGTGCCGCCAGACACGATCTCTGCCCGCCCCCTGCGTTTCCCCGCAAAGCCGCGACCCCTCTGCTCTATCTTGGCCTTGCGGGCATTGGTGGTAAATTACGTATGTACCTGGCGTCTAATGGCGTGTACAGGGTAAACCTTAGGACGGCCCCGTCCCCGCAGTGACAACGTCGGATGCCCGGTGATAGAATCGTGCACCCGCTCGTTACCATGGCCGACCCCGACGTAGTCGTAAGCGAGTACCCACCACGTAAATGATGGTGGCTCACCGCTCAAGGAGTTCTTGTTTCCTCTTTGACGGAATAGTGGATTATCTTGCTGAGGGTGAGTTGGTCTGCTGGTGGCGGTCCATGGTCGCCCGTCGGCGGTGGTTTGTTGAATATCTCGACATCGTCTCCCTGTCCCTGCCCCAACGCCCAGTCGTCAGACGGCCCAGGCCGTGCGGCTGCCTTGACGTCGCCACCCTTCAGCCGCCCCTGGCCACAGCTCACTACCTGCGCAACGCGCATGTGCCTCGATTCTAGCAGGCTACTGTCCAAGGTGTCCTCCTCATCCCAGCAGAAGGGGCACCGAATGTCGCTGCATTGCTCATCCCGTCCGCACCTAAAATACACCTTGTACTGCGCGATCAATGCCGCCTCGTCGGGGCGAAAGTTGCCCCCAGAAACGCGAGCACCCCATGACCCATGGTCGACCTGCACATCGTTGTCCTTGTACAGGTGTGCCGACCAGATTGCTGATCCCGGAAATCGGCCTTTCAGCTGCGTCGTTGTTTGGGTCTCTGTGGCATGAACGTCCGTGGGTACGCGGTCGTGAACGAGTGTCCGGGCAAGCATGAACATCAGGCGGACGCACCCAGCCTCGGGCGACACCGAAACAATCTCATGCTTCTGTTCGCTGAAGTACTTCCGTACCCGGTACTCGAGGCCGTTCGCGAGCGCAAGCATTGCGGCGTTGACGTTGGCGCGCTTGGCGTAGTGCTTGGGTGGGTTCCGTCCACAGTCGGACTTGTTGCTGGACTTGTTTTGCTGGTGGGCGAATTCCCCTGGGCTTGCATCCGGGACAATTCCTGTAGGCGGCAGGGGGAGGTTTGGTCGACAATTAGCTTACGATACCGGTCGCCCCGGTGGTCTAGTGGGTAGCCTCGCAGCCTGCTAAGGGCCAGGTCATGGGTTCGAGTCCCGGCAGAGAGAGTATTTTTCTCACTAAATAAATCCTGGTCTAGGATGAAAGCGACGCGCTGCAAAGCTCGTTTGTTAGTAAACCATGATCGACTTCGTAAGTCGCGAGGGAAGGGATTGCTGTACCCTTCTCGCGATAAAATACCTCAGGCATGAACCGCAGGAGGGGGTCCAACCCCCCCCTCCTATGTGACCCCGGTTGGGTCGTCTAGCTAGTAAAAGTGGAGGATGGGGGCCAGAGGGGCAGACGACAGAGTCCAATGATGGGAGAAAAACAAACAACAAAAAACAAAAAACCTAGCAACCATGTAGGTGACTTTCCAAACGCCGTGCAATAACAAAAAAAAAAATGCCAGAAAACTGGCGTTCAAGCGCAACAAACTACAGGCGAGGCATGTTTCGGAGTCACCCCCATATCTCGAAGAGCACTGCAGTGACAGTGGGAGCTCGGCTGTGCCGTTTCAAAAATTTATTCGTCCTCCCGCTCAAATTTGATTGGGCGTTTTCGATGCCAGAGCCGAAAACTGAAAGGCGTCTCGGCGGTATAACCTATAACCTCGACTATCGCCATTTGCTTTAACCTCATCACCCTGCTTCGAAAGAATTGTCGAGACACACAGACAGGGTGGGCAACTAAAACAATACTACTAGACCCCGAGCGGGGGGAGTTTTTCGCGCGCATCCCGCGCGCACCATCACAACAGCATAACCTGTGCTGCGGAAAGTACCTGCAGTAGGCTGGGTCGTGCGCCCCCCGTGAATATGTGTTGCTTTTGTTTTGGTACACACACCCGAAATGTTGTTGATGCGATGTTGTTGATGCGAATCGTTGTTGTCAGCATTCCGTATGCGTTAATAAATTAAGAAGTAGAAAAAATGCCCCACCAGTCAGAACACACCAGCAGCAGAATATTTGAAGTAGCACGCGAGTTGTCGCCGATCGCGAGCCCCTCCTCACTACGCCCTGCCATGGTCTGCAAACCACACGCGAACACCCTCTGTGATATGCAGATAGTGAAAGCCGCGAGCTGTAGAGGAGGAGATGCGTGGTAGCTGGTTTGAACACGTGCCAAAGTTGGCCACTCGGTATGGACGAGGTCAAAAAAAGAACACAGCAGCAGCAGAACCAAACCGACCGACACACACGTAGCAGCAGAACCAAACCGACACACACGTGTCCCAAAGGACAGTTGAAGTACGCCGCAAAGAGAGGACAAACCGGGTGTGAACGAGTGACTTAGGGGTTGGTGCAAGGAAACAACGACGCGAGAAGTGTTCACCTATTAGGAGTAGGCTTGGGCACTCGTTTTTTTGCAGAACGTCGCCAATTGGCGCAGTTATCGATGAAACGGATTGTGAGTAGAGTACATATCGGCACCGAACGCAGCGACGCGGGCACGAAATGAGAAACGCTTGGGTGCGGAATGATGGCCTTGTTACGCTACAGCTTGTGCACTTTTCCGCACCGACAACAATCCTCAAACGGCTTGTTTATCGGTGCAAAGGTGGTGCGAACACACACACGGACATCAATTTGAGAACAGTAATTAATTCAGGGGTCGGGCTGACAGGCGGTGTTATTCAACGTGCGCAGAACCCAGGCGGGGAAACAATAAGGACCCATCTAAAACAGTTTTTTTGCGAAAAAAAAACTCCGCCATCGCTCCAAGTTGGGCTCAGCCAAGGTAAGGCATTCAATTGGCCTCACCATGTGCTCGGATGGCCTGTGAGGTGTGCAGGACAGAGTGGATGGTAGGCCTCGAACCAGTCCTCCCCAAGACCTTGCAATACAGGCGGAAGAAGAAACACAATTTAACACGCAGAGTGGTGTAAGAAAAAAAGATTATTCGAAGATATTCACAGTTTCGGACCGGGCCTGAAAATTTTCCGAAATAAGGAAACAGATTTCTACATAAGAAAGTTTCCGGGAAACTTCCTGCAGGCGAATACTTTCCGATTTAAGGTCNAGACCTTGCAATACAGGCGGAAGAAGAAACACAATTTAACACGCAGAGTGGTGTAAGAAAAAAAGATTATTCGAAGATATTCACAGTTTCGGACCGGGCCTGAAAATTTTCCGAAATAAGGAAACAGATTTCTACATAAGAAAGTTTCCGGGAAACTTCCTGCAGG